GTGATATTTTGGTGTTATTCAAATAGTACTATGATAATTGATACAGTGTTGTTGGAGTGTTATTTTTTTTTCTTTTGTTGCGATGTTATTGCCTTGTTATTTTGATCGTATTACAGTGTTATTGAGATATTGTTGTGGTGTTATTGGAGTGGTACTTTGACGGTTGTTGCGATGTTATTGGAGTGTTATTTTATCGGTTATTGCGGTGTTATTGTCCTGTTATTTTGGTCGTATTGCAGTGTCATTATTGTGATGTTATTTATATATTCTTGTCGTGGTATTTTGTAGTTATTGTGATGTTATTGGAGTGATACTTTGGCGGTTACAGTGTTATTGGAGAGATATTTTGTCGGTTGTTGTGGTGTTATTGGAGTGGTGTTTTGCTTGTAGTAAGGTGTTATTGAGATGTTATTGTAGTTTTATTGTGGTGTTATTTAGATATTACTATCGTGATATTTTGTGTTATTGTGATGTTGTTGGAGTGGTACTTTGTTGGTTGTTGTGGTGTTATTTGAGTAGTATTTTGGCAGTTATTGTGGTGTTATTGTAGTTGTATTTTTGTGTTATTGAGGTGTTATTATGTTGTTATTAAAGTAGTTATTGAAGTGTTATTGTGGTGTTATTGAGATGTTATTGTGGTTTTATTGTGGTGTTATTGTAGTGTTATAGTGGTGTTATTGTGACTGTATTTTGGTGTTATTGTAGTGTTTTTGCCATGATATTGTCGTGGTATTCTTGCGATTTTAATACATAGATGAAGCTTAATTCAATTTAGCCTAGTCGCTAGAATTGCCTAGGGGCTGTTTCTACACGCCCGAGGGAGTTATTTGACGGATCCAAATGTTTAGAAAAACACTTTTTTGAATTTCGAAGTCCTGAAATTCTCCAGGAAGGCCATGAGGTCATAAGTATGAGTAGGAAATGTAGTTTTTTACCTTTTCTCGAGAGATTGGAGAGGGGGGGTTTTGAGAGAAAACTGTAAGGGAATTGTATTAGTATTGCAAGAAACTGTAGGAGGCTTTGTTGAAGGAATTTAAATCTTTTTTTCAGATAACAAAAGCTAAGTATATTGTTATCTAATGTCTTGTACTTATTGTAAACATATATTTAGTGGATTTGTTTGTCTTAAGATGATGTCTTTAATTGTGTTCTTTATGATTTGTGAGTAGATTTCCTTTACCCATCTCTTGTGGTGAATAAGTAAGATTTGTAGGATGTGTATGATGCTTTTAAAATTGATTTTTAAGCTTTAATGTGATGGTTTTTTTTATGCTTCATTTACTTTTTATACTGGTCATATGAACTGTTAAAATTATATGTTTACCATAAAGACTCAGGAGAGCTATGACATGAACAACTAGGAAGGACCACATTGCACTATTAGGCGAAGAAAAAGTAGTCTACAACACATCATAAATAGATAAGGAAATAAACTTTGATGGGTGTAAATTGGGGACTCTGGGGTGAGAGACTAGAATCCTAACCAATTTTATATAGAATTTAATGAATTAAAACTAGGTTAGCCAAATTGAGGGTATAAATTGGAGACTCTAGGATGACATGCTAGAATCATAATAAATGTAATCTAGGGTTTAAGAAATTAATACTAGGTTAACCAAACTTTTTTATGCACTCGATAGAGGGTAAATAAGAGGAATGCTTTTATTTATCACTAACCATAATAACAATTCAAAGTATTAGATCCTACAATCCACTTATGTAATCACAAGAGAAATGTAGTTTTTACCTCTTGAAATTTACCAAACCAATTTGTCTAGTTAGGTTTAAAGTTAGACTTAGGGTTGTATTTAGGAGTAGTTGTTAGAAAAATCACCTTAAATGACATTCCAAACTAAAACCTGAAAGTAGTAGAGTAGAACTTAGCCTAATGAATTTCTTATCTCGCTTCTTAGTGGGATCGATAATCCGAACTTATAGAGCCTTATATTACTGAAATGATACATATACTTACGTGAGAAATCCCATGGAGTAATAATACATAATTTTAAGTACTCAATCAATTAACCAGGGATCAGACCAAGTTTCTGGTGCCTTTATTAGGATTGCACAAAAATAGTGATACACAATGGGGTGGATCAAGCCGCTGCAATACCAATCAAATAACATCTCAATACCTTCTCAAAAAAAAAAACCAGTCGAGAATTATCATAATCGCCGCAATACTACGCAAATAACGTCGGTCGAGAATACCACCATAGCTCCAACAATACCAATCACATAACATTACAATAACATCACAATAACATAAAAATGACACCACAATAATACTCCAGTAACATCATAATAACTCCAAAAAAAATATCGCAATAACACCAGAGTAATATCAGTCGAGAATACCACCATAACCGCCACAATATTACTCAAATAATACCACAATAACACCTAAATAATAATACAATAACACCACAAGAACACCTCAATATTAACACAATAACACTATAATAACACCAGTCGAGAGTACCACCACAACCGCCTAATATCACTCAAATAAAATAATAATAATTCCTCAATGACACCAAAATAATATCATAATAACATTGAAATTACACCAGTCGAATACTGACATGTCTTGTAGCATCTGATTTCTTTTATATTTAACACTTCTTTTTTATGAAATTCCACTTTAAAAGAAGATATTTTCATATTTTTGTCGCAGGTATAACAAAGAGGAGATTTGAAGAAAATTGGAGCGACAATGGAGCAAAAGGAGCAATGAGCAACAACAGGATGGGCGCCTAGGCGCCAATAGATGTCCAAAAAATAGAGAACATGGTGTCTTGGAGCCACAGGCTGTCGCCTAGGCTCCAGTTATTTTCCTTGCCTACCCGAGAAGGTGGCGCCTAGGCGTCAGAACTAACTTATGCGGTTTTTGCAACAATTATGGATGAATTTAGAGGTTATGAGCTGGGGAGTCGCTGTTCTAACTGGAAGGAGGATCATTGGCGAAATGAAGGAAAGAGCCTAAGTGTGCAGGAAAGTATAAAGTGAGATTTTGTATTTTTCTGCATCTTCTTGAAGAGATTTAAGAGGAAATTGTAAATGATTGCTATAAAGCAGTGCAAGGAACACTATGAGGTCACTTGGGGAGGAGTTTTCATTTATTTTCTCAAGGAGAAAGATAAGTGTTTCATAATATATTGTCTTATCTTTATTGTAAACTCATTGCATATGAGTTTCCTTTATTATAAGATAATGGTTTGTTGTGTTTTCTTCATGCATTGTGAGTAGATCATTTTTACCTTTCTCTTGTGATGGAGTAACAATATATGTAGGTAATGTGGAAATACTTAGAATGAGTTTTTATTCATTATTGTGATGATTTTTTACTTCAAGCTTCATTTACTTATAAATTTGGCCAATTGATATGTTAAAACCTGTTGCGAATTCATAATAGTTCGAGAAGGTTATGGCTTGAACATCTAGTAGAAATTACATTGTGTTATTGGTTGAAGGAAAAGTAGTCAATAGGGAGAGGTTTCTAGGGTCATAGACAAAAACACTTACCTAGTTAAACCAAACTTCTTTATGCACACGAAGGAGGCTAAAGAAAAGAAATGCTCATATTAGTCATTAATTACAATATATGTTCTAAGTGTTTCTTTCCAACACAAATTACTTACTTCATTGCAAGGGGAGGGCATTTTTCATAACTTGATCTTTCTCAACTTATTATCTTTAGTAAAATTAACTTTATAGTAAATCTATAGGTTTAGCGATAATTTGGAAGATTTACAAGGGCAATTTAATTTGACTTTACCTTCAGGCTAAGGCTCGTTATAGTAGGGTAGAACTTTTCTTAAGTCTTTAAAATAACAGCTTTCCTTGTGGGATCAATACTCCACACTCAAAAATCAGTTATTACTTGAACGATACATACACTTGCATAAAATATATAGTGTGTAGTGCTAAATTGTGAAAAAACTCGAATTATAAAATTTATAATACATATTTTAGATTCAAAATATTTCATCACAGAGCTACCTCATTACCACTCAAATAGCAACAAAATAATACCACAATAACACCGCAATAATAACATAATTAGACTGAAATAACAACAATAGAATATTGTCACATAATCAACGCAATACCACTCAAATAACACCATAATAACACTACAATAACACCTCAATAACGACACAATAATACTACAATAACACCATAATAACATTAAAATAACACCAGTCGAATACCATCACAGAACCGTCGTAATACCACTCAAATAACACTACAATAACACCACAAAAAATCTCAAATACACTATGATAATGTCAGTCAAGAATAACACCACAGAGCCGTCACAATTCCACTCAAATAACACCACAATAACACTTCAATAACATAAAAAAACTGTAATAACACCATAATAACGTCAGTCGAGAATACCACCACAACTACCACAATACCAATCAAATAACACCATAATAACTCCACAATAACACCCCATTAACATCTCAATAATATCATAGAAATACCACAATAACACTAAAATAACACTGAAATAACGCCAGTCGAATACCACTAGAGAACCGCCACAATATTACCCAAATAACACCACAATAACACAACAATAATACCTCAATAACTCTACAATAATACTATAATAATTTCATAATAACACCAACCAAGAATAACACCGCTGAGCAGCCACAATGCCACTCAAATAACACCATATCAACACTTCAATAACACTACAATAATACTGCAGTTACACCTTAATATTATAACAATAACTGCACAATAATACCTCAATAACACCACAAGAATAACTTTACCACCACAATATTATAAAAAAAACATCAAAAAAATAATCATTGATTCTGAGTACAAAAGAAATCAAACAAAGATAAATTAATATCGACATTTCAAGCGCAACTAAACTCACATGCATTTCAAACATCTCTCCATTATTTTCAGAATTTATCATCAATATTTTTCGTCCGATGAGAGAAAAGTTATGCGACAACTATGTGACCAACGACCGATTGTACGAGAGATTTCAAAAGAATCAAAACCTAGCTACTAAAATTGCATGTGAATAATGCTATGGCGTTAGATCAAAATGAGGTTTTATTCGGTGTGAATGATTTTATTTTCGAAGCAATAGTTTGGATGGGACAGGGTCATCTATTAAGACATAGAGTTTTTAATTTTTTATTTTCATAGGAGCCAAAATTTCATCGGTGAGTCCGTACTCCATCTCCGGATGCAATATTTCCCGACGGTGGTTGCGTATCAGACGACGATCTGTCGTCTCTCTGGCACTCGTGTCCACCGAAACCCTCTGATCCTCCTCCCACTCTCACAGTTTCGGCTAAAACCATGGGTAAGTGGTCGAACCCTACGACATGGTAGCAGTTAGAGCCATACTAGAAGGCAACAACGGGATCGGGCGTGCAGAGACGGCCTACTCACTACTCCTTCCGTGGGGTCCTACCTGAAACCATCGAGGAAGGTAAACATTGTCTTCCTCTTTCGCTCGCGACAGTCTCTGGATCAGATAAATCCCCAATCGAATCTCCCAATCTGGGATTTAAGACAAAACAGAGGAGAAACTGGATTTAAAATATGTAGGGTTTGATAAATTTGTTTTAATATTTATTGGGGATAGATGTTATGCATGTAAATTTAATTCTCTTCTTCTCCTAAGATGCTTCCACTCGGATCAATGAGTGGAGGGTCATTGGGTCTTCGTACGGAGAGTTATGGATCATTGCAACCGCAGCCACATAATAACGGTGCCGCATTACCGATTCAACCGAACTCGGTCTCTGCACGCAAACCTCCTAAGATGCTTCCGCTCGGATCAAGAGATAAGGAGAAAGTTATCCTGCAATGGATCTGCAAACTCTGTGGCAAGAGGAAGGTTGGAATGCTACTTCTCCTCATAGCGTCAGTTGCAGTCTTCTTGTCATTCATTTCCGTTCTCAATAAAGGTTTGGCCTTTATTCTCCTCCTCTTCTGTCTAATTTTGTCTATGGTTTGGCCATCCTTTTATTAATATGTAAAAATGAATTGACTTTCCTTGTTGGATGTATTTTATAAAGGCATTTATCAATTGTTCCCCTCCCGTCATAGGCTGACAACAAAAGCTATTTGTCTAGCTTCAGATGTCCACGACTTGCTGCAAACTGTAAACTCACTCACCCATTCCTCTGTTAGTAAACTAATACATTATTTCTGCATCATGCAAACACGTAACAATTATTCACAAATACGTTAATTTTTCAAGTGTACTGGAAGACAATTGGATTTTAAACTTCCAGGTGCTTCTTTGTTGCAAGATTTAAGCATGATTTGACTTAAATCTTGCCGAAAAAAATTGTTTTTATCATTAAATCTTGTAGCCCTCGCAATCCCTTTATCCCTTTTTTGTTCTTGATTTAGGATTTAATAAATATTGGGAGAACTAAATTTGGTAAAACCTTGGAGAACCATAATTTATGCAATTTATTTCTCCTTCTCTCTTGTTCTCTCTCAAATTTGAAAACATGGATCCCTATCTTGTTTTCCTTCTCTTCTTTCTCTTCTTCTCTTCGCAGCTTGTGGGTTTTTCCTTGGTACTAGAATAATGTTTGGGCTTCTAGCACATGTTCTAGCTTTCTATGCTTTAGTTTAACATAAAATTTGTTAACAAAATTCTTATTTGGAAATCATTCTTTCAATTTTGTTATCTCAAATTTTGTTATCTCACACCAAAATTTGCATTGATATGCTTTGTGCTAACAATCAATCTGACATTTGGTGCATTCCATATTTAATTAATTATCATTGGTCTAATAGCACTTTATTGGTAAATAAACCATAAATGGGAGTGTAATTATGATTCAGTTCATCCTAGTCAGCTTTAAAAATATATGAATCAATAATTATGCTTAATTCCTCATTTTACTTAATATTTTAAGTAATTAATGCAATCAAGTCAAGCTTTATCGCTCTCAAATTATCTATGTTAAATATTTTAAATTTTTAGATTACTTATTAATTTAGTGCATGGAATCAATCGCCTCATCGATTCAAAATTAAAACTAAGCTCTAAAAATTATAACCAAATAAGTTATCTGGGTTTCACCAAATTTAGTTGACATCATGCCCTCCTCTTATCACCTCTCACTAAAAAATGATGACCCCCACCTCTATCATCAGGTAAACAAACAGTTTTCAGGGTTGGCCAGATTTGGTTGCTGCCATGCCAAACAATTTTTAGGATGATGGCAAACAAAGAGTTTTCAGGTTTAACCAGATTTAGCTGCTGCCATGCCAAACAAATTTCAGGACTTAGCTCTCCCTAGTTTTATTAAATTTAGATTTTTAGGGTTTACTTGATTTTAATTGAGTTAATTCCTCTTTTTAGCCAAACATCCTCTTATAGTATAACATACATGTTTTATATGTAGAACTCTGGAATTTTAAAAAAAATCATTTATTTATCTCACCTTAACCTTGCAAAATTGTTTTTTTTTAGTAAAATGGATTCTAGATCAAATTTTATATAATTCATGTACATATCAATGTTCATTTAATGACCATTTTGTGTTTTACTTAGCCACTACCCAACTATCCACTCACAAACTCATTGAATTGTCTTAAGTTTTTAATTATTACCGGGTGTAATTTGTCTACTAAATCCTGAGGGCTTTGTTTGGGATCAAATTTGTTTTTGTTTTTGTTTTTGTTTTTTGTTTTGTTTTACAAAAAAACTTTTGTTTAATTTGTTTTTACATGTTTTATTTTCGGAAATTTACATACACAACACCTAGTTCTTATGCATTTACCTATCTCGCACCCAAATTCTCTTTTTTACAAAATTAACACCCTACCTATTGATGAAAATTTGGATTCCACTATTGGGAGTGGTGAAAAAGATAAGTTGGGTGCTTGGTTTGAAAAATGAGAGTTTATGTGTGAGATAGTTAAAATCATAAGAATTGGTGCTGTTTATGTAAATTCCTTTTTTATTTTTTGTTTCTAAAAACAAATTAACATATATTTCTAAACACTCAACAACTTTAAGGTGTTTTGAGAGTTTTTAAAAACAACCTTACTTTAATCAAATAGCCAAATATGTTTGTTTTAAATCAAAACATAAACAAAATAAAATAAAAACAAAAAATAGAAAATGAAAACCAAAAGTGATCCCAAACGACCCCTTAAAATCTCTCTTATTGTTTCTTTTTCACTCCTATTTTTGCTGAGCTGGAATTTGAACTTTGATGCTGCTTGTTTCATGGGTGGCAGAAAATCTATTTTTTTCATTTTCTCATAAAAGATAATTATGTTTTGCAATTGTTTTGCTTCAGATGATGATGCAGCTTCAGGTTTGGAGACTAATCTTTTTTCATCGGATCATGTGTGGACCAGGACGAACTATGACATAAAATCACCAAACACTTTTGGTAGCGCTTTGGCTTCATTAAATAATGATGCGGAAAACATTTCTTCATCTGGAGCTCACCTTTCTGTTTCAATGCAATCTTCTAGCGTTCTTCCTGTGCCACATCCTTGCGAGAATGTTTCCTTTTCTCCTATACAAATTGACAGAAAGCGCCCAGGTCCACGCCGTAAGTTTTGGGAGACCATTTTTGAAAGATTTCTATTCTATTTTGATTCAATTGCAGTCTGGTGTTTGATGGTAGTTATTATTTTTTTTTGTAGTTTTAAATGCTTATTCCTTGTCTTTTCTTTTTAGCATGCCATGTTTGTTATGTTCCTGTCGAGCAAGCTGTGTCCTACATGCCAGCTTTGCCATCAAAGTCACCTGTCTTGCAGAATTTAACATATGTTGTTGAAGAAAATTCATTTTCTACTGAGCCCAGTGGTGGCTCTTTTTTTGGAGGACATCCATCTTTAAAGCAGAGAAATGATTCTTTTGATATAAAAGAATCAATGACTGTGTACTGTGGGTATGATCATTCTTTTCATGATATTCAACTTTTGGCTATGATACTTTTATTTTAAATTTTAAATTATTGTTAGGTCTCTGTTTACCTTTGTTCACTCTTTTCATTAGTTGTGCATTCATATACAATTTATGGTATGTAAATTTTATCAGATTTGTTGGCGGCAAGAAACCAGGGCAAGGGACTGGATTTGACATTGATGATGATGATCTTCTAGAGATGGATAAATGCCATGGCGTAGTTGTAGCCTCCGCAATATTTGGTATGCTAAATTGGCTGGAGTTTTTCTTTTTAAAACTACATATCCATTTCAATAACATTTGTCTTGCTGGTCAGGAAACTATGATGTAATGCAACAACCAAAAAACATTAGTGAAGTTTCAAAGCGAACCATTTGCTTTTATATGTTTCTCGATGAAGAAACAGAAGCCTACATAAAAAATTCTAGTATTGTCGACAACACAAAAAGAGTTGGATTATGGAGAATTGTAGTCGTTCGGAACCTCCCTTACGAAGATGCTAGACGTAATGGAAAGGTATCTTCTTCTAATTTTTTTCTTTTACAAGTTTGCTTATTTTGTTTCATTGCCTCTTTAATACAACTCGCACAAATCATTTTCCGGAAGTAAATCAGCATAAGTAATGTGGTGAAGCAATAGAACTTCTGTTTAAGAGTCTGTTATTGAAGAGTTAAATACTTTTTCTCTATTAATCTCTTAATGATGTCAAATGAGGTATGAATTTTGATTTTCATTTGTTTCGATTACATAAAATTATCTAAGGGTTGTGACCATTTTTTTCCTTAAATTTCTCCTTTTGCTTAACTTTTCTTTTTGTCCTAATAACTTTCTTTTCCACTTGCTGGAATGTAATTTTACTAGTAGTGGCTCTAGTGGCAGAGTTGTAACTATGGGTGATTAAATCATCAAAAGATGTATAGGTTTTAGATATCTCGGGTCTATTGTTCAAAATGATGGTCATATAGATGGGATATTATTAGTGGAATTTAGGTTGGTTGGTTGAATTGGGGGAATGCATTAGGCTTATTGTGTGATAGAAATTTACCGCTTAAATTTGAAGGAAAATTTTATAAGATGGTGGTGAGACCTGAGTGTTGCCGAGATGAGAATGCTTAGGTGGATGAGTGGCTTGACACTTGGAGACAAAATGTGAAATGAATCTATCCTTTAAAGAGTGTAGCTCCAATTGCAGACAAGATTAGAAAGAGCGGTTTGGTCACATTAAATATCGACCATCGTATGATCTTAGCTAGGAGAGTATATTGTTTAGATTCAATTTATGTTAAGAAAGATAGAGGAAGACCTAAAAAAAGTTGGACATATTGTATAAAAAATAATCTTAGTCTATTAGAATTAAATGAAAATATGACACTCAATAGGACATAATGGAGAAAAATGCTTCATTTAGCTGACCTCGCGTTGTTGGATAAAAGCTTGTTGTTGTTGTTGAACTTTCTTTTACATCACACTTCGTGAGGAAAAATAATTGGCTTCAAAGAATATTTCTAAGATATATAATTAGATTACTGCTTGATAATTGTTACTAGATGCCAGTTGTGCAATTGTGTTCATTTACCAGGATTATGGTTAAATTTTTACCATATAATATTGGTCTTGGAAACCGTCATCATTGTCTTGAATCAAGATTAACCTTTGGAGTCTCATTTATCAATGCTCATCCCCTATCATTGCTGTTGATTGTTGGATGAGACAACCTTTTATTTTTTGTAAAGTTATTTTCTTATTTTCTAGCAGTGCTTAATTTTATTTAATCACCTTATTTATGTATGTTTTCTCCTATTGCATGCCCAAATCATACATGCCTATTTACTCTAATTTATATTCAATAGGCGTTACTCCCACCTTGATCTAATATAATCATCTCTCAATCTTTCCTTTTTAGTGTTGCACATAATTATCTTAACATTCTCATCCCAACCACACTTAATATGGTCATCAATGTAATTTTTATCCCTTAGCACTTATATATCATCTTTGTTCTTAATTTCAATTTTATAAAATCTTATTTATGTCTATTATATTTTTCCAAGGCATTTTACTTTTGAGATATTTTTTTATTTTAACCACCAAGTCTTCTCTATAGAAGCTATTTTCTGTCCGAAATTCACTTTTTATGCAGTAAACTTAAGATATTTAAACATATGTGGTTTTACATACATACTGCACTGTTATTATGTTTTTTCTATATTAAGTTTCTTTATTTGATGTTAAACCATTAAAGATATGTATACTAGAGTTGTTACTTGTGTTCGAATAAGAGGATTGACCAAATATTTTATATTTTAGTTGGATTACATCAGGGATCAACTTTAAACCCATATCTTCTTTAAACCCATATCTTTTTGCTTTAGTTATGGATGCGCTTACTGGACATTTATAGGAGGGTATACCTTGGTGTATGTTTTTCATTGATGATATCCTTCTTGCGAATAAGTCTATACAAAGAGCTCATGAAAAACTTGAATTATGGAGTTCCACAGGCCTTCATTTGAGTAGAACTAAAATTGAATAAATGGAATGTCTCGGTGGATGGTGTGAAGGCTTTAAATATCTCGGTTCTATTGTTCAATGTGATGGTGATATAGACGGTGATGTTATTAGTAGAATTCAAGTTGGTTGGTTGAAGTAGAGGAATGCTTCGAGCTTATTGTGTGATAGACAAATACGTTTAGACGGAAAGGAAAATTTTATAAAATGGTAGTGAAACCTGCAATGCTCTATGGCGCAAAATGTTGGCCTTTAAAATAGAAGCATAAAATTAAGTTAATAGAAGCATAAAATTAAAAGCATAAAATTAAGTTAAGTTTTGCCGAAATGAGAATGCCTCGGTGGATGAATGGCTTTACACTTAGAGACCAAATGCTAAATGAATATATCCGTGATAGGGTTGGTGTAGCTCCTATTGCGAACAAAATTAGAGAGAGTCGTCTTAGATGGTTTGATCACATGAAATGTTGACCATCTGATGATGCGGTTAGGAGAGTAGATGTTTTAGTTTCGACTTATGTTAAGAAAGATGGATGCAGACCTAGAATGACTTGGGTATATTTTTTATAAAAAATGATCTTAATTTATTAGAGTTAATAGAAAAAAAAGATTCATGTAGCCGACCCACTTAGTGGGATAAAGGCTTGTTGTTGATATTGTTGTTGTATTTGATATTGATTTGTATAATATTTTTATGTCGCAATCACATCAAAACATATGTATATAAACTTGTCTTTTATTTTTAATTAGTTGGCCTTAGTATTATTTTTTTATTTGATTTAAAGATTTGGTGTTATATATGAGTTCATGCTAGAAAAAACTCAGTTGCAAAGAAAAATTAAGTCTTAACTTAATAAGGATATAAAATACATAGTGATAGAAGTGATAAGAGAATAAAATTTTTAGGTGAAAACCCCCAAAAGAGGAAAAAATTATAGGTTTTAGTCTTGTAGAAATAATCTATTATTTAATTGAATTTACACTGTTTCAGTATTCTTAAATAGAGAAGACAAGATTACAAGGCTATAATCACTTGCTTGGTTTTTTGTTGTTATTATAAGGTTTGTCTAACAAGAACGTCAATAATAATAGTTTGACAACAATATTTAGGAGATAATAATATAACAACAATAGTCGTTTAACAACAGTTGGACTTTGATGTTGCTGGTGATGGTGTTTGAACATTAGTGTTGTTGTTCGCTTCTAACTCTACGTGAGTTTAAATTTTATTTTGAAATATCACTTTTTTTAGAGAATAGATGTATATTTATAATTTTTTAGAGTGAAATTTTAGTAAATTTGATCAAAATCTCAAAACATTTTATTGGACGCTTCATCTTAATTTTTTGATTCATAGATAATTTTTTCATCATTTAAGTGACTTAAAAACCTCAAAATAGAGCAGTCTTTTGTTCGCCGGTTTTCTTTCATCAAGTGGCTTGATTCAACCTTAAGTTTGCCGAATTTTGAGATTATTAACGATATGTGTATGTATGTATGTATATATATATGTGTGTGTGTCTATGTATATATATATGTAAATTTATGTATATATGTATATATATGCATATATTACACACACTCACACACACACACACACACACACACATTTATATAATTATATGTGTGTGTGTATGTGTAAAAAATTGTTCGATATGTTCACCTCAAGTTCAGAAGAATCACCTCAAGATGTATGCCTCATTCTTGTAGACGAGGCTTACAACTTTTTGAAGCAAGGGTGTAGGTGAGCCAAATCAGATCGGGCTCGACTCTGTAATTGGCTCGTGAATTGTGCTCGATGAGCTAACAAGTCAATCTCAAGCCAGCCCTGACTCGGACTCGTTAGTCCGTGAGTTTAAAAAATAATTAATAGAAAATATACTTAAAATATATTAAAATTCAAGATTTTTTCTATATATTTCTAAAAATATTAAAAAAAGATATTTTACATTTCATATCAAATTATTTCTTATTAAATTTCTCTTAAATGTTCATTTCATTTATCATTTCTGTTGAAATTTGGAATAGACATGCTCAATTTTATTGATAAAAGATGTAGTATTTAAACTCAATTACAATAAACACATTAAAAGAAAAAAATAAAACAAAATAAAATAAATAGGAAAGGAATAAAATAGAATAAACAAAGAAGGAAATACATAATGAGGGAATTAAAGCTATTAGACAAGAACTAATGAGTAATAATGGCCAGAGACTTGCTTGAAATTTGATTGCCGTTATAAATCTAATATTTTCTCTCAAGTTGGAGTATAAATGTCAATATGTTTAACTTGAATTTGAAATATTCGAACAAAAGTCGAGAAATATATTTAATGAGGATATCCGCTAGTTGATCACTGGAGGGTACAAAAGGCACGCAAATTTCTCCGAACTCAATTTTTTTCTTAATGAAATGTCTGTCAATCTTCACATATTTGGTATGATCATGCTGGACTGAATTGTGTGTAATGCTGATGACAACCTTATTATCATAGAATAACTGCAACAAGACTGAGGTTGACATACGAAGTTTATGAAGCTTGATGCGTAACTAGAGGGCTCCACAGATCTCCAAGACCATTGACTAGAATTCAACTTCAGCATTGCTCCGAGCAACCACAGACTTTTTTTTGCTTTTTCATGTGACCATACACAAATGCACAATTTTTCGAGGTGGAATGTCAGTCATGAACCGACCCGACCTAATCAGCATCAATATAAAAAATAATAGACCAAGATGTGTGATGAGAGAAAACAAACCTGAGCTTGATGTACCTTTTAAATAGTGGAGAATCTGATGGACAACTTGGAGATGTGTTCATAGGAGATGCATGAATTGACTCACTATACCAATTACATGCCTTATGTCGAGGCGAGTACTGACGAGGTAGATGAGTTTCCCTACAAGATGATGAGAGTGAGTTGTTCACAGACGCAACATTGTGAATGTCAGATAATTTTTCATTGGGATATATATGGACGACCATTGGTTTACGCAGAAGAAGGTT